CGCGTCCTGGGAAAATGACACGTATGGTCACCCTACTGTACAATGAATAGTTTTTATCTCAACTTTTCAGTACTGAATGCTTTTGAGTACTTAATTTTGTTCGCACTGTCCATCATTTTGCATTCTGCTGTTTTATGCAAAGTTGTCTTAGATTTTGGCCAAATATATCTTATCTCTCTTCTTGTTTCTTAAAAGGCACCGTTGCAGCAGTCGCAGGCCTTCACCCGGGTCAGTGCATCATTAAAGTGAACGGCATCAATGTGAGCAAAGAAAGCCACGCCAGTGTCATCGCCCACGTCACAGCCTGCAGGAAGTACCGGCGTCCCACACAGGTAAGAGTGTGAGCATCTCTCAGCTGCTCCATGGAAATGCAGTATTCCTGACCTTTCTAAATATTAAATCTGCATATATAAAGCACTACAAAGCACATAACAGAACCCTTTGTGATCCGGTCTGGATCATTACCCAGCAATAATAGCAATTATGGCTTCTTTTGCGGAACAGGGCGGGGAAGAAGGCCAGGAAGCTGGCTGGGGGTGTGAGGAATATGGGTTAAGGAATGGGCCAGGCAGCCTTGTTTTGGAGGGCAATAAAGTACAGGCTTGGCACAGGCTGAAGTAGGCCGGTGTGATTGGCACACTGGCTGGACTCTGGTTTCCATCAGGCATGGAAAAAGAGTGAAGGAGTGCCCACCCTCCTGCTGAGCAGGGATTTGCGGCCCACCATCAAGAGGAGGGAAATGTAGGGGAGATAAACATATAAAGGCTCTGATATACTCTGCAAAGTTCTTTTTCGTTTGGCATTTAGGGCTAAAAGGAAGTCCGAAATACCTATGCTAAGAAGAAGCCACATTAGCGACATTTAGGTGATATTTTGTCAATAGTGTAGCGATGCATGTAGTACAGTTCACTCAGAAGTCACTTTAAGACCAAGCAACGTGAACCTGTTGTGAAATCTGTGTGGGGAAATCTTTTGCCCTCATGTGAAATTCCCAATTGTGCAGATTCCCATTGAAAAAAAATTTGCCGATCAATGATAAATGTGACCACACCAGTTTGTTCTTCTTTCTTGAAGTATATCGGCCATATTCACATTCAGTGAATGCACAAATCAAGAGAAACATGGTAGATTGGCAGGGTCTTTTTCTTAAAGGAAAGTTCTCTATTTGCCCTACATTTAACCTCATTGCTATCTAGTAAAAAATAAGGTTTTTGCTTTTTGATTTTTGTGTCCTATGGGAGTGTGTGATCAACTCGCAATTCTTGTTTTGAAAGTAAGTCTGTCTGAAATGTGTTTTGTTGTTCCTTATTGCAGCAAGACTCCATTAAATGGGTGTACAACAACAGCGAGAGCGCACAGGAAGACCACAAGAGAACCAATCAGAAGCCCGCCGCAGGGGAGAACGGAGATGTGTTTGAGTGTAAAGTTGAAGGTGCTGTTACACACACCAGTGCAAACACATATTGTACACACAAGTACACACTTTTTCATCCTCCCACTCTAGTCTTGATATTTACTCTTCTTCTTTGTCCTCTGAGACTAACTCTACAGTCTCATGTCAGTAGCCTCATACGTGATTCACAGGACATGGAAACAACTCATGTCTCATGGTTTATTGACAGCACTGATTTTTGTACTTTTTATTTTGGTAAATTTAGGCAATATTTTGTAATGACTGATTCTTAATTTGTATTCCATTTTATTTTATTTGTATTAAATATGCACAGTATTATTAATTTAATTTAATTTATTTTAATTTTGTCTTGCCTTCGATCACTCTTCATTCACAGTCCTACTTCAGTAGAATTCACAGGACATGGAAAGATTGTATATATAAAATGGACTTTGAATTTAATTATTTAATTATACACATTGGCAATAAAATGATGAAAATGTGAAGGAAAAACTGTAACAAAGTAAAATTATGAAAAAAAATTATCATGACCATCATGATTTCGCCTTTTTTGAATTCATTATAGTTGTTGAACTCAAAAAATTTTTTTTGCATTGCTGCGTTTTCATCAGTAATTTCATTGACAAGATTAACACTGCTCTTAACCTTAACCTAAAATATAAATTGGAACTTATTCGCTTAGTTGTGGTGGTGGTCTGGGTCAGTAAATAGCACTAAAGATTTGCATTTGTATATATAAAGATTTTTGGTATTTTGTTATTAAGCAGGAAGCAGATTGGTGGTCTCTAGATGAGCTCCAGCCATCAAAATATTGGTTTTGGATTATTTATGTGCTTCTTTTGTCTCTTTTGGGCTGCTCAGACTAATAACATTGACACAAACTGGTGTGCGTGTTCAACAGAAGTCATGGACAAGTTCAACACCATCGCCATAATAGACGGAAAAAAAGATCACGTCAGCCTGACGGTGGATAACGTGTATCTGGAGTACGGCGTCATGTACGAGTATGACAGCACGGCTGGGATGAAGTGTCACGTCTTGGAGAAAATGGTGGAACCAAAAGGCTTTTTCAGCCTCACGGCCAAGGTAGAGTCACATGAGTCATCCCACAGACACACACCAGTGAATTAATTCATACAGAAGCAGAGAAGACAACAGGGATTGTCTTATACATTTGTAAGGCCCTCTTCACAGTTCATGCGTAACACACAACCACTGATAGAAGCTGACAGCAGAGTATATTAAACGAAGTGTGTGTGACAAATGAAAGTGGTCTTTACGACCCCCTGCTGCGGAATAAAAGGATAAACACTTTAAATCATAGAGCATTTGTCACTGTGTGGAGACTATGGAAGGGAAGAGATATAAATGACTCAGGTGGAACTATTGCTCTTACAAAAGTATTTTTCCTGCAAATTTGTTCGACCTGAATTTTACTGACTCTGACAATGTTTTCATTTGACCCCTTCAAAAATATATCTATATTTTTTAGCAAAATGTTTATAAAATATTTTATCGAACATCCTACAAAGCTATAAAAAGCCATAAAAAAGCTATAATCTAACTCCATGACAGGTAGAAAGTCATAAACACTTTTACTGGATTGCAATGTACGATATTACATTATTACATTTATTATATTATTATTATAACGGTTTTAATTTAATATTTTAAAATATAGTTAAATATCACTTTTATTTATTTTATTATTATTATTATTATTATTATTATTATTCAGTCTTCTGTGTCGAATCATTCTAATGCTGAATGGAAACATTTCTAATGATCAATGCTGAAAACATTTGTGCTGCTGAATATTTTTGTGGTAATACTACTGTTTATTTTAAAAAGTTCAATTTAATTCTTCCTTGCTTAATAAAATTAATAATTTCTTTCTTTCAAAAAAAAAGAAAAAACGAAGAAGTATTACTGACCCCAAACTTTTGAACTGTAATATCCATTTGGCAATCAAGTATTGTCCTGTTTAATATCACAGAATTCTTGATTGTGGTTGGTGGATGTTTTTGTATTTAGTCCAGTAAGTTTTGCAAGTGTTGCAGGTTTTGTGCGCACGTCTCTCCTTTTGTAGCGTCAGCAAGGGAGTGTGAGAAAACGAGATATGGTTATGTAAAGTGTGATATCTGTTGTTGATTATTAACGTTTGCTTGAATATCTTTAGCATTGCATGCAGCATCCTGCAGTGTGTGATCTCAGCTGCTCTCAATCACTTTTTATCACACGTGTTTACAAATGTACGGCATATTTCGTTTCCCTAAAAATGGATTTCAATGATTTACAATCTACGTTAATGAACCAACAGCTGTCAGGAAAGACTGTTCAGCGTTCTGTTGCCAAGCAGTGGAGGCATCGCAGCTTGAGAGTGACGTCTCAGAAACGCACGCTAATGGGACTAATGCACTGACGTGTTCTACGTATTAAGACTCTCTTTTGTTTTTAATTCCTTTAACTGCCAGCAATTTCTGCCTTATTACAAACATCTGCTTGGGTTGGTCTGCACTTCCTCTGAGAAAACTCTCTTCAGATGATTTTTCATATTTCAGTGCTGTTAGGCAGATTACATGCAATTGTTATGGTCACAGTGCACTCTTAAATTTTTTCTCTCCTCCACAGTCTTACAGGCAAAGGCTGCTCTCTCTTTTGAGAAAATAATTCTACCACCGTGTGTCAAATTTATTTTTTATTGCCCTACTATTCTTGGTTGCATAGACAGCTGTAAACGTGACATTTGTGTGTAAAGGTATTTAATTTATTTTTGTATTTAATTAACATACACACACAATTGTGCACACAGTGCACTCTTAAATTTTCTTACAGGCAAAGGCTGCTCTCTCTTTTGAGAAAATAATTCTACCACCGTGTGTCAAATTTATTTTTTATTGCCCTACTATTCTTGGTTGCATAGACAGCTGTAAACGTGACATTTGTGTGTAAAGGTATTTAATTTATTTTTGTATTTAATTAACATACTTTAGAGAAAAAAACTTTTTGCCAATTTTGTTTGTTAGTATGTATATGTTCACACACACACACACACACACACACACACACACACACACACACACACACACACACACACACACACACACACACACACACATTTTTAAATGTTTACTTATTTTTATTTACTTTTTTGATAAATTTGTAATATATATCCATTAAATACTTTAATGTTTATTTTTATTAAAAATAAATAAAAACATTTGACTGATTTTTAAAATAATTTTATGCCAGTTTTAGTTTTAAATATTTCATGAATTTTAGTTTAACATTTAAATTCCATGAATTCAGTACATTTTATGAATAATAAATACAATATAACATGGAACATTAACTTAATTACAGTTGATCACAAAAAAAATAACTTTTTTCACTGATTGTAAATAAAATCACCCCTGATTGTGCAAAGTTACATGGCAACTGCAAAAAATAAATGAATAAATAAATGCATGCATACATACATACATACATAAATAAAAACCTATTTATCTTGTGCTGAGGACATGTGTTGCTACCAGTTACAAAAGCTTTTTATTGAGAATGAACTGGGAACTCATGGTTACTGTGTTCTGTGTTGGAACATGAATGGCCTTAACTGACTCCTATAATGCGTCACCGGACATCTAGTCTTGTTTTAGTGTAAATAATACTGTTTTTACAGTCATACAACTATTAAGGAAATAATGGCTGGATGCAGCACACCCCTGCAATAACCACAAGGGAACAACAAAGTTCTGTTTATCTGTTTTGGGAAATGCATGCAGTGTTTCTAACTCACTTGACCTATGGCAGTTTTGCTCAATTTATCCGTATAACTGACAGATGAACAGTGGAAAGCACATCTGGCATATGACCAAAGCTCTTTTTTTCTGCCAAACCTCATGTTCTATGTCTTTCTTTGTGTGGTTTGTCAGATTTTAGAAGCATTGGCCAGGAACGATGAGCAGTTGGTGCAGACTTGTAGTCGACTGAGCTCCAGCACAGAGCTTATCTCTGAGGACCTGCAGACCAGATTCAGTGCCATGTGCGGCGAGAAACTGGAGCATATCAATCGAAGGATCACCAATTACAGGAAGGTCAGCAAGCATTGTGTGAAACACTTCTTCTTACAGAATGAAAAACATGGACCAGCATAGCCACGTTTTCACTAGGAAAAACTTTGAGTCATAGCATTTGTGAAGCACAACTGTGCTGTGCATTTTTAGCAAAATATAAAAGCAAATATAAAATGAGTCGAAAAATAAGGAGAATATATAATTTTAAAAAGCAATTATGTGCACCTAAAAGTGAAAATATTGTCATCATTCACTCATGTCTTTCTTTTATTTCTCTTTTCCATTCAGTGGAAGTGAATGAGGGCAAATGCTATTATTTGTACATAGTTTTATTTTATTTTTAAAATTTTTTATTTTATATTTTATTTACAAATTTTAATAATATTTTGCTTATTTTTATTTTCTACTTTTATTATTATTGTTTTATATTTTTATAATTGTTTAAAGAACATTTTTTTAATAATATTATTTATTTAATATTTACTATATTATTATTATTATTGTTATTGTTATGGTTGTTTTTTTGTTTTATACTGTAAAATTTGTGTGAGGAATAGACCAAAACTAAAACCATCATTCACTGAAAATCCTCCCTTGGTGTTTATTCTGTGCATATTCAATTATGGCACATTAACAGAATTTTCATTTTTGGTTGAACTCTTCATTTTAGCTTTTTTTCCCACCTGATTAAGCTTGATGACTAAATCTTGCTGGTAATGCTGGTTATAAAAGACTATTGCAGACACCCTGGCACACCCACATCCAAAACTATCTGCCATATGCTGGTGTTTTTAGCAGGGTGGATCTTATTCTATGTTTTAAAAACTATTTTCAGTCTTGATAAATTTCTCTAGTTTTGTGGCCTTTGGATGGCTGCAGCTAAGAAAACTTTGCTTGACTTGTAGTACTTCTATTTAGGTTACCGAACAGGAAACCATCCCACCCTGTCCTTTTTAACACCTGCTGGCCTTGATTGAATAAATATGCGAGTCCACCAGTACCAAAGGAAGCAGACTTGTGCAAAATTTAATTTTCAATTTCCATCGGCTGCTCTTATTTGGAGCAAGAAAAGGAAAAATACGTCCGCAAACGTCTGACAGTTTCCATTGTTTTCCCTTGTGATCTGATTTAACATCAGCACTGGATTAATTAGCTGTTGCTTCACCGGCTATAAATAGCTCTGAACATCCCGTCCCGTTGCATAATTTCCCTTCTGCTGCATTCTCAGTAGGGCCCTGTGAGAGGTCTGGCAGGGTCCGGACCCCGGACACTGAAGCTCCCCGTTTGTCAAAGCCAGGAATGTGGGAAGTCCGGTCTGAGGGGAGGCTACGTGTCCAAAGCAGCTGTAACCCGTCCAGTGTAGTCCGTGACCGCAGCCATTCATGATCACAACCAAAGAATCGTTATGTCATTGTTGGAAAAAGGCGAGGTTCAAATCCCTGCTCAAGGGGAGCATTGAGGTCTTGTCAGCCTGTAACTGATTCAATTATATGCTCCTGTGCCTGAAGCTGTGATTTTGAATGCAAACTGTTTAAAACAGTTATAATTTCAGATGCAATATGGATCTATTCATGAATAGTCTTGCTTTGTAAATAAATCATCCTATATGATTGATTTTCTGTGGAAAAAGGACATTCCTTCTGGAAAACAGTGAATGAGGGTGCAAACTGACTTTGCATTTGATGAATGACATGCTGAATAGCCCATCTTAAACCACCCTAAGGTGGTTTACTAGTCTTATCTGGCTTAACAAGGTCTCCTAGCCTGGTCTAGCTGGTCTTCTTACATGGTCAAGCTGGTGTTTAGTTGGTCTAACTGTTCTTCTAGCATGATTACATTTGTGTTCAGCTGATTTAGCTAAGTAGCCAGCTGATCTCTAAGCTCAGTATTTACTCACAAATTTAGCTATTTCTAAGCAACTGACCCTTCGCCGGGAGTTTGATTAACAGGTGATCTGACCAATCATAACGCCAAATCTGCCATTTTAAATGTCCAAGGTCATGGGTTCGAATCCCAGGGAAAGCAAGAACTGATCAAATGTGTACCTTGAATGCAATGTAAATCACTTTGGATAAAAGTGTTTACCAAATACTTAAGTGTAATATAAATGTAATCTTGGAGGCCCTAGTTGAGAACCACTGCTCTTAAAAGTGTATCAAAATACACTAGCCTGACCAGTGAGAACCAGCCTAAGCTTCCAGCTAAGACCTTAAACCACCATAGATTGGTTTACTGTTAAACATGCCAAGAACATCAACAGGTGATTGGAGATGCTGATGGACTGGTGTTTTTATAGACTGTTTGGTATAGACTGAGCTTTTGTATTGTCAAAACACGTTTTAGTGTTCACAGTTTAATCCGAATATTAAACTGCACTAGAGCTTGATGGGAAAGTACTGAACTGTAATGGGCTTAGCGTGTTAGCATACCAGACTCAATCTAAAGATCCTTTGGCTAACTCTTACTGAAGCCAGGTTGGTTGAAACAACACAGTGTTGAGTTGTTTTGGGTACAGTAGTACATGTTTAGATGATTTACATAGGAAAAACCAATTAGCCCTTGCTCATACTCACACAAAATATTTACTGTATCTTACACTAATGCCTCTCTGCTCTCAGTTTTCACGGGTTTTGAAGAACAGGGCCTGGCCCACATTCAAGCAGGCGAAGACCAAGGTTTCCCCTCTACACAGCAGTGACTTTTGCCCCACCAACTGTCACATCAATGTAATGGAGGTGTCTTATCCCAAGACCACTTCTTCCCTTGGAAGTGCCTTCGGAGTCCAGCTGGACAACAGGAAAAACACTCTAGAGAAAGGAGGCCACAATTCAGAGCAGGGTGGGTGAAGATATAATCCTAAATGTAATGTACAAGCAGAGACCGTGCGTTACAGGAAGCAATGGCCAGTTTAAAGACACCTATGAAATAAATATTGGGTTTAAGTTCATGTCTGGTAGCTTTTCTCTGCTGATTTGTGATTTCAGGCATGCTGAACCCCATGGTTTACGTCCAGCATAGTATCACAAGCATGGCCGCCCCATCAGGACACAGTCTTAGCAGGGCAGAAGGTCACGGTCTGCGCTTCCTGCTCCGGGAGGATGAACTACTCATCCTGGATGCCTACCACAAACTGCTGACAAAACTCACCACTGTCGTCAAAGAGATGGCGTGCTACGCTGCCCAGATTCATGAGTATGACATTTTTATTTGGCAATATCTTTGTTTCGTCATGTGAACATGTTCAATACATGCATATATAGCTTTCCTTTTCAGCCTAGTACAACATCTGTCTTAAAATTCGATATTAAACTGACGAAAAGTCAAGTTTGGAAGTGAATCAAAACTTTTTCAAGGCAAACAGAGTTGTGATTGAACTGTATTATTGCCCTTTGCTTCAAGAGAACTCAACACAAAGAGAGCTTGATCATTAGAAATGTATTATCTTTCATCGGAGGAGATCCTTCATTGTGGTTTATGTATTATTCTCTTTATTCTTTTGTTGGTGGCCTACCCTCTGAATGAACTGGTCTACCTGGTTATCATGCTTTTAAAGTCACAGAGGGGGTGGAAAGAAATCAGAAAAACGAAATTATTACTTAGGGATTCGGTGCAAAACAACCATGGCTAATATTAGTGATACAGTGAATATGTAAGCATACCTCGATCAAGAGGTTAGAAGGTAAATAATATAAATAAATAAATAAATAATTAACAATAAGATTTATTATTATTATTATTTTATCAAGTGTGCTTTAACTGAATTATTGAGATTTTAAGAAGATGATGATGATAATAATAATAATAATAATAATAATAATAAATATTTTCTTTTTTATTCATTTTTTTATATTTTTCTTGAGTGTGCTTTTTAGCTAAATCATTAATTAGGTGTTATTATATGATAGTATTATTATTATTATTGTTGTTGTTGTTGTTAAGAAACAAAAATTAAAAAAACAAAAACAAAAAACAGATTTGGTTGAACGTTGTAAAATCTTGGCATGATGTTAATTAATAATATTAAACATTTGAAGGTTAACTTATTTGCAGCATTTTTACGTCTCCCTTGACTGTAGATGATTTGAAACATTTATTCAGATGTTGAATTTGGAATGAAATGACGTCAGATATCACGCAAGTTGTGTCTAGATGTGACAGTTCTTATAACTTCTAGAGTCTCTATGGGATGTTACTGTCCCAGCAACCATGTAATCTTTGTACATTTCACATGACCCAACATCTGGAATTTGCATTATGTTTCTAATTACCTTCTTTTTTTTAATCCAGCAACTAAATGTGTGTGTGTGTGAGATACTTAAGCAAAAAGAGGGTGGGTATTTCCTGTCTGAGCCGAGCTGTTGATGGTTTCATTTTCTGGAAGCACATTAACACCTTGAACGAAATAAGGCACTCTGAGGCCCATATTCCAAAATGTAAATATGCAAAAATAAAAAATATATAGTTTAAATAATAAAAAACACCCATTATCCCATCAGCCTTTGAATTTTCATCATTACATGGCCATCACATGCTCAGATCCTCGGTGGACATGATGGCAATTACAGCTAGTCTTGATCTGCGGTGGGGGCGGCACCTTTCACTGTTGCTGCCATATGCTTGTCAGTGCCGATTGCTGGCTGAAGGTCTGTGATTATACTTATTGGCAAGGCCGTCCTTGATCTGGTGGGGAAATAATGACCTTCCTCACAGCCCTGGGCAAGAGAGAGTGCTGTAATGGCTGCCTGGAGGCGGTTGTCAGACAGCCATCCTTATCATGCAGCAATAATGGGGCAAATAGCAGCTGAGTAGCTCATTGGAGCCACTTCCGGAAGCCTCAGACTCTGTGATTAAGAAGTGCATTGATCTCTACAGTTGTTGAGGTTGAAGAAAAGGCTAAATAAAGCAAAGTATGAGGAGATCTGAAGTGGGTGGTTCAGAAAGACTTGTGCCTGGTGTTTGTTGTTACTATATAACTGTCTTAAAGGGACACTTCACCCAAACATGAAAATTCTGTAATTTTTTTATCACCTTCATGTCATTCCAAACCTGTATGACTTTATTTTTTATTTTTTAAATGTGTGTGGTTCACAGAAGAAAGAAAGTCAGGACTGGAACAACATGAGGATGATTAAATAATAACAGAATTTTTATTTTTGGATGAATTGTCGCTTTTAAGCAGTGGTTCTAAACCACGAGTCCAGGGCCCACTGGGGGCCTCAGCAAAGTTCCAAGGGGTCTTAAAATGATTAAAAATGTGACAAAGCTAAAACAACTAAAAAAATCAACAACTATTTGTTTCCTTTAAAGAACCAGTATTCCAACAGTCTAGAAAACCCTAAATTTTAACATTTTAAATGTGATTTCTGTACCTGGAAAGGTCATGTAAATTAACAAAATCCAAAAATGCCACATTTACAAGCTCTATAATATTTTATTGGGTAGAAATTGTGATTAAGAAATATCCAGTAAATCACAAATGACCGGAAGGGTTACTTTTATCAGATTTATAAAAGACAGATACAGCTGTACCGATTCTCTCCGAACAGTCAAGCTCCTGGAGGCATGCTGAGGGCGGAGCTATCGAGTCACGAGCATGCAAAGCTTTTACGTAGCGATCGTCTACAAGCCATGACATCGACATAAATAAAAACGGAACAAAAACTTTATTGACTTAAATTAACTATGGCTAAAAATCAGATCCAGCCATATATATTCAATCTAGAATTGGATCCCGACGACTTCTGTTACCCAAATGAAGCACGTTGATGGCCGTGCTCTTGCACTCGCTCTGGTTGATGTGTGCGCTCGCTCTTCTGGGAGAAGTGTCCATACAAGAAATCCCGCCCTTTATGATATCATACAAGGCCATACTTGAAAAACACTTTCTGAAACTTATGTGAAACCTGAATGAATGCCTTTGGCACAGAGATACTCCATCATACGTCCAAATCGTTTTTGAGACTTTGGCCATGTTTAGCATGAGAATCCAACTCTTTAGCAGTGTAAATAAGTCAGAATGCATGAAATAGCATTAGACATCCCCTTTAAGCTCCTAAAATGTAGAATCCTAAAATGTAATTAATTTGAATCATAATCATTTAAATTAGGATTTCCCACTGATTAAAATAAGTTTCCTAAAATGTATGTATCCTTGTTTTCTTAACAGATGCTCCTAGCATTGTTTAAAAAAAGAATTTATCAGTATTCCAGATGCATCACGAATGGATTTTAATATTAACTTTAAGTGGCGTTCACATAAGCAGCTCTTCTCTGGACAGCTTCACTTTTCTCAGAAGAACATTTTAGCCAAATAGATCATATGCCATAAAACCCATATCACATTCTGTTCCTCTCTTTGGCTCCAGTTCTGTACTGTCCTACTAGTTAAATGCAGATGTTTCATATCTATCTTCTCAGATGTTTTAGATAGTGATCTCATTTGTATTTGAAAGTGTGACTTGACCAGAAGACACATTCTGATTATAGTTGAAAGTGCCGAATCAGCTGCACGACATTAGCTGAATGTAAAGAGCCTCATATGTCACATGAAAGCACTCATGTATAAAGGACCGTAGGCAGATAGACCCATGGACCCGAACCAAGATCTCCCCTTCATCATTGTTCCCCTCCTCCACTTCTTCTCACTTTGGTGCTCAGTGCCCCTCGAGGCCCCATGCTGCGCACACTTCCTTATTAAGCTTCAGCCAATAGCAGTGCTGGGTGCTCTTTTCCATGGCGACAGAATGGTACTCAATGGTGGCGACCTGTCTGCTTTGACAGGAGGGAACATTGTTATAAAGTGTGACTTAACCAGAAGACACATTCTGATTATAGTTGAAAGTGCCGAATCAGCTGCACGACATTAGCTGAATGTAAAGAGCCTCATATGTCACATGAAAACACTCATGTATAAAGGACCGTAGGCAGATAGACCCATGGACCCAAACCAAGATCTCCCCTTCATCATTGTTCCCCTCCTCCACTTCTTCTCACTTTGGTGCTCAGTGCCCCTCGAGGCCCCATGCTGAGCACACTTCCTTATTAAGCTTCAGCCAATAGCAGTGCTGGGTGCTCTTTTCCATGGCGACAGAATGGTACTCAATGGTGGCGACCTGTCTGCTTTGACAGGAGGGAACATTGTTATAAACCGCAAAGTTGGAGAACTAGGGCAGCTGGAGAGGCCTTCGGGCAATCTCACGAGCGAGGCGTCGCTGGAGACGTTCCTCAATTTCTCACTCTCAGAATTGATTTGGGTTGGAAGAGATTTCATCAAGGTTTTGTTTATTGTTAGGTTAGGATGAGAATCAGAGTTATGGTTTGCACTCGTAAGGGAACGTATTCCACGAAAGTATGTTTATATGTCCCCTCTCATTAAAAGAACCCGGAGGGGTTTGTCTGAAACTCAAACAAGGCTTGACATGTTAGTATGTTCATGTGTGGAGAGACTGGGCCTCAAAACCAGACTGAAAATATGGCTTAAATGTCCCCATGTGTGAGAATAAGCGTCTACATTTTCTTCGCCGTCCTCCAGGAGAGGAATCTATGACTGTTGATACAGCTGTATATGCGTGTTTTGATGTTATCCATATTTTAAGGACCTCTAACTTCCTTGAGTTGTTGTCCGGAAGCCGAGCACAAACAGGTTGTGATTTAGTTTGGCTCTGGTCATCCTCACACATTTAGCACTCTGACACGCTGTGCCTGATCCTCTCGAAATGTTTCAAATATAATTTGAAACCATGCTAGACTTACAAGATGTTAGGGTTTGGGAAGTGACAGTTGGATAAATGGATGCACAGCACAACAAAAGCAAATAAAGTTGAAAGTAACAGAAAAATGCACAACACAAAGGAAATAAACCACAGCGCAACAGAGAAACCCACAACATAATGGAAATAAACCATAAAACAATGGAAATGAGCAACAGCACAAACTAAAGCAAGCCGTGACACAATGGAAATAATCAGCAGGAATAAGACAGACAATAAATCACTAAGCAAAATGAACAAAATATAAATATTTTAAGAACACTGCACTTTTGACAGAAGTCATAAGATACACAAAAGTTGATACATTTTGTATTGTAAATGATGAAAATTGTGCATTTTATTTTATTTATTGGTTGTGCCTTATTTCCACTGTTTTCAACTGCTAGTATTTGTTGTGTTATCCACCCCTAGTTCACTGTGACAGAGTCGTGGAGTGATGTGTCTTTCCCTCTGTTTATGTGAGTCGTGAACATGTGTTTCTGGAGGTGTAGATTCTGACTCTTTTATTGCACATAGATTGCAGTGTGATTTATGTGTGATTAATCTTTCTCTGGTTCTCCTTGTCTCTCTCTTTCTCTCTGTATTTCCCACAGTTTGCTTTCCTCTATCACACATCCCACAGGGTCTGAAGGGAAGCCCACTGAGAGCTACATTTCAGCTGAGAGTGAGTGCGAGAAAAGTGAACGCAATGGGAAGAAAGTGTGTTTTAATGTGACCGGAGACGAGCAGGAGGACTCGGGTCACGACACCATCAGCAACAGGGACTCCTATAGGTAATGTGTCTTACAGTAGCCATAAAGTACTTTTACAGTCTTCTCTAAAACATCACGTCTGTCAGGTTTCTCAGTTTCTGCTTGATTTCACACAACATTGTCTTTTAAATCAATTCATAACACAAAACAAGTCCGTGTTGCATTCTCAGTGCCACAAAGAGACATCCACAATTTGCTTTTAAAGTCAGTTTCCTCTTTCAGGTCAACTAATGTCATGACAAAATGAATTTTAGTTATATTTTATATATTTTATGGAAAAAAAATCAGAAGTTTTCTAAATTGTGTGTTTTAAAAAAAAATTATTTTGGAAAATAGAAAGCACAAAATTGTATACATATATATATATGTATTTAAAAAAATAGTATTATACAGTATATACGTTGTTAAAAATATATATGTAGTTACATGTATACATTTCTTTATGTACTGATTAATTTAAATATTGATACAAAAATAAATAAATACACTATATAATTTCTATTTCAAATAAATGCTGTTCTTTTGAACTTCCTTTTCATCAAAGAATCCTGAAAAAATTGAATCAAGGTTTCCACAAAAATATTAAGCATCACTTTCAACATTGTTAAAAAGAAATGTTTCTTGAGCAGTAAATCAGCATATTAGAATGATTTATGAATGAATCAAGGTTTCCACAAAAATATTAAGCATCACTTTCAACATTGTTAAAAAGAAATGTTTCTTGAGCAGTAAATCAGCATACAGTATTAGAATGATTTATGAAGGATCACGTGACAATGAAGACCAGAGCAATGATGCTTAAAATTCAGCTTTGCCATTGCAGGAATAAATTACATTCTTAAATAAATGAAAATAGAAAACAGTTATTTTACATTGTAATAATGTTTCACAAAATTGCTGTTTTTACTGTATTTTTAATCAAATGCATGCAGCCTTGATGAGCATAAGAGACTTTTTTAAAATCAGAATACACAGCTACTTATGAGTGGCCGTCAGTGCAGAAAGTTTTGGCTTATGTTATGTTGGTTTAGAGTATGTTTTTGGCTTTATTTGCACCAGAGCTCACACATGAATAAATTCAGAAGAATTTGCTGTGATCTTAACAGAAATGAATGGCTTCTGCACCATTGTGATCCTGTCATGTATTAGTATTCATGTTCATTGTTCATAACACTTGAATGTTTGTCTGATTTCTTCCAGTGATTGTAACAGCAACAGGAACTCCATAGCGTCCTTCACCAGCATCTGCAGCAGTCACTGCAGCTCTTACGTGCACAGCGACGAGATGGACTCAGGTAATGTAACCAGACATCATCCTGCACTGATATCACAACACCATTGTTAGTTCACCTCCCTGATAAATCCTCCATGATTGTGATCAAATTTGGCAAGTGCTTGGATATGCCTTTCAGACTGATTCTTATCTCATTGCACTGCACATCAAGCACGCATTTTCCACTTAGTCAAACAGAACCTGCCAAAATACAGAGTCTGCCAAACTGATGGCCATTCGATGCTAACTACTGAACAGATGGCGGAAGAGAAGGACAGGAAAGACGAAGGGAGAGGAGAGAATTGTTTGCATTGTTATGGCAATACCTCACTAATGAAACAAACGTGTTAAGGACTCTGTGTTGAATGTGTGTATCCTGATTGATTACCTAATGATTACCACTTCATCCTCTCTACACACACACACACACACACACACACACACACAAACAATCAATCACATACAGGTGACGAGATGCCAACCAGTGTGTGGATATCTCACGACAAACAGAAGAAGCTACATGGCTTCCTGGAGCATCTGTTCAGTCAGGTGTGTGTTTGCTGTCAGGATCAACAAACTTTTTTACATCCACATGCATGTAAAGTAGAGCATTTGTTCATGTGAACTTTTTTTTGCAGTATTTGGTACATAAATAGCATGGACCATTTCTGACACAATGTCTTAAATGTCTTATCCATTTTTGTGTATATAAATGTGAATAATAATACTACTAATAATAATTGAATTTCTGCATATACTAATATACTAATTTCTACATATACTTTTCAAGTTAAAAATGTTCAAAGTAGTATAAATTAACGTTAGTTGATCTATTCATTAATTTATACATTTATATTATACATTACACATTATACATTAAATCTTGCAATAAAATTTTGTTCATTGTTAGTTTTTGATACCTAATTCCTTAATAATTGATAATGAATAATAAAGGTTTGTTAAGTTAATTAATTAGCAATGAATTGTTTGTTAAATATTAAGGAATTGAATCTTGTTGTATATTTTTTTTAAACAGCTCCTTTAAATGGTCTGGCAGTGAGACATGATTGAAGTACAAGTTTTAATATTTAATCCGTTAATACAGCTTCATAAAAATGGCATTTATTAAATAAAAATGATAAAAACATTGTTTAAAATAGTTTAACATACATAGCAAGTCACTTAATGTTATATCAACTACCCATTTATATTTTAATAAAAAAAATATTTATTTTAATCAATAATTATGTAATAATATTTCATATTTTAATTTATAATTATCTAAATATACAATAAATATTAAAATGAAACTTTAAAAATATAATATACATATAAAATAACAATCAATATAGACAAATAAAAAAATAGTTATTTACTATTTAAATATTTTTAATTGAAAAAAAATAATAGCAGTTTGCTTAAATGAGTGGTTTTGCTTCCTTTTTGCTTTATCCAATCTTTTCTTAAGAAGACTTAGCTTCAGCTTTGACTTCTTTGACACCTAAAAACAGGCTGAAGCCCCTCACATAATGAACCATGGCCATGGTCATTTTCCCCCAGAGATCAATCCGTTTTGTCTCAACACTTTTTAACAAGGATGTCTCCATCACCAGTAAAATGGAGAATGTCCAGCTCACTGCGTCCTTCTTGACTGCTGTTTGGTTTATAGCACACAGGTTTCCGGGAGCACAACACTCCCAGTTCACATGCAGCACAAATGTTTTCCGGCTGATGGGGTGGGAGTTCAAGGGGGCTTTTGTTTTGTTTTTGTGCAGACTGCCTCCTTGGGCGCTTTATGTTTAGTAGCACTAATGGGACTGAGTTTTGAAATACCTAAATAATCTTGAGTTTGTCCATTTGCTCAGTCAGCTAATTAAAGACTAATTTCCTGTGATGTTTTGGTGCTGATATCATTTTCAGGTGGAGTCCATCACCAGTTTGTTGAAAGGAACAACTGTGACACGAGCCTTTGAACAGACCAAGTGTTTCACTCCGGGACGAGGACTTCAAGGTATTGAGAGATTTTCATGTTAATGAACTAAATTGTGTTTTATTCCTGTTGGCACAGTCTTATTCATACAGACACTATTCATTAAAGTGACTTTCGTCGCTCAGTGCACTTTTTGTTATGGGTTGCATAACTTAAGTCTTAAACTAACTTAAATTGTGTGCACTTCACTCAAAGTGCTGAAACTCATAAACTATACATGTTTATGAGATTATGATCTCCAGGGATCTCTGGTACTGCCGCTCTGAAATGTCTCGTTGTGAAGACAGTTATATGTGTGCCAGAGAGAGAAGGAAGAGGGTGAAAAGGAGTGACATAAATCTGGGCCTGTATTTCATATCTAAAGGGTTGTTGGCAAAAGGAAGTGTGGCTAAGGGTGGGGGTTTCCTCTGAGCAGTGTGGAGGTTTCAGTGATTGACTGCTCCAACCTTAGCTTTGTCCTTTACTACAAATCATCTTAATCAAATCTGTACAATTCGTTTTTATCTGGGACAGATAAAGAACACCAGACTACTAGAGATAGTCTAGGACGCATCCTCTCTCTGATCTGAGGACACTAGGACATTGGACTTGTAGAAATCGTCTGGGTCACTTCCTCTGTCTCATTCTAGATTTTGTGACGGTTTTGTACCCTTGAAAAGGACACTACTCGTAGAGTAGTGTAATCCATTTAAAAAGGCCCCTTTAATTGCTCGCATACATCCAAAGCTTTTCAGAAAGTAATATCTCTTATATAAACATCTCATACAAAATGTAATTTAATTTAATTTAATTTTGTTTTTCGTATGTTTTATTTTATTGTATATTTTATAGGTTTTTTGTATTTTTTTATATTTTATTGTTTATTTTATTTTATTGCTTCTTACATTTGATAGATTTTTTAATTTTTATTTATTTTATTGTTTATTTCATTTTATATTTTAATATTTTATTGTACATTTGATTGTTTTTGTATTTTATTTTATTTCTATTTATTTTATTTTATTTAACAACACAACACTGAAATATATCCAATTTTAATTACATTTGCATAGTGCTTAACACTGAGTTCTCACTTGAAGTGCACTCCTGAATTAGTAAGACATAGTAATGCTCACTTTCAAATGAGTTTCACCATTAATAGCCTGTATGATTTAATCTCTTTAAACTAAGGAGCCTGAAATAGATAAACAGCTCCAGGTATGAAGATCTCAGTGTGTTGACAGTAGAAACAAACTTTAATGCAATCTGCAGTAACTCTTGAGTCCCTGTTTTATATGATAATAAAGTTGATCCCAAAGGCACAGTTTCACACAGGATGTGGCTCAAGGTCATTTGGTAGGTTAATAAACACAGTAGGCATTGTTCTAGTGATATTTGAAAGCAGGAGAGGCTTTGCCTGGGAAATAAATCTTAAATGAAGTGAGGAGTCAGCGAATGTATGCTCTATCTGTGTGTGTGGTCTGAATCTAGTTTTATACCTCCACAAAATGTTGCTGCTTTGCTGTTGTAAGGAGATGAGCAGATTAGCATGGAATCCTCATGGTTTTAACAGTTGATTATAACTTGTGTGCCTGTGCATGTGATTTGTTTATTCAAGCTATCACATGCATGCAGGTGAGAAAATGGGATTTGAGAATGAGAACTTGTGATGCTTATTATAGAGCTAGTGAAAAAATAATTAAAATTAATCTTGTGACTCATTGACTAACTAATTGATTTTTTTAATTTTTATTTATTAATTTATATTTTAAATTATATTTTGGTGCTTTTAAATGATCTCACAAGCAGGAAAATAAATACATTAAAAAAATAAATGAATGAGACACAAACATGCATAGAAAATAATTGTAGTTATGCAGGTAATGCAGAGAACTTTTGAATATGCAGCTACACACATATTTGTAATATGTACATTTTTGAAACCTTGATGATTAAATCTAAATATGTGGATACAAACATACTGTATTTTAATAATAATAATAATTATTATTATTATTATTATTATGATTAAAATATAGTATATTTGTATCTACATATTTATTATTATTATTGTTGTTGTTTAAATGCAGTACATTTGTATTCACATATAATAATGACTAATACTGCATTATATAAACAATTTATATAGCAGCAGAAAAATAATAATAATAAACAATTATGTAAATAAGATAATATTAAATAAACAATATATATTGATTATTATTATTATTGTTATTTATACAACTGTTTGTCTCAGAAGTGGACCTGTTCCTTACTCTGTGTGTGGTAGATTCCTGAAAATGTTTTACATCACCACAGAGAGCTCAAAGGAAATTATTATATAATCACTGAGACGAATCGAATGATGTAAGACCATCTCACCCACCCTCTTTTTCCCTGGACGGAGCAGGAAGCGGATAGGTGTGTGTGAGAAATGGCATATGTGTGTCACTGCACCATACCGTTTTATCATCACCATGGTAACAAGCGTTGACACCTTTTAAGGCCAGAGCCATCTACTGTAAGGATGTGTATTCCTTAGTTTAGTGTAGTTGTCTGTTTGTGTTGGCCATGTTTGATCCTGCACGTTGGACTCCAATGATCCTGTGATTGGTTTTGGGCAGAGTTTCATCAGGACATGGAGCCTAAGCTTAACTGCACCAAGAAACTGCGGCTTCACGTCAAGCAGGATCCGTGGAACCTGCCCAGCAGCGTTCAGGCTCTCACACATACCATCGCCAAGTTTGCAGAAGGTCAGTGGTTTCAAAACCCACACACACCACATACGTGTGATCCTGGCCAAAAACAACCACTCGAGCAGCTCTCAATAGGGGCTGGATGCTGCCATGAGAGCGAATTATTAAAGCACACACTGCTAAATGTGAGTTTATGGAGGGGAGAGAGGGAATATTTGGCTTTAACTCACTCAGGTCAGTTGTCAGCAAGGGCTGAAAAAGCATTCTCCTGCATTTTAACTTCCTTACGCTGCTGCTGTGTGTGTGTGTTAGGGCTGCACAATTAATCGAATTTCTAATAGCGATTACAATTATGGATGCCACAATTACATAATCGTTCAAAGCGGCAATTAATCATTCAAAGTCCACTTATGTTATAATGCACGCTTAAGATATGTTATTTTCTTTCTTCATGTTATCTTAAGAGTTTTTCCATTGTTTTAGTTTTAGTTTTAGTATAACATTATAATACCATTCATATTTTTACTTTTTTTATCATTTAAAGAAGAAACCAATCCGATGTATATTTGACATTTGAGGCTTAATACTATAGAAAAGCACTAAAGGTTTTTCAGTTAGTGTTTTCAGCTTGTTTATTTTCATATAAAAATACGGCATGCAGTTGCATCAAACAATGGTATAAACATCATTCAATGTAAATTGTGATAATCGTAATTAATAATCGCAATTACAATTTCAAGGGAATAATCGACAATTATGATTTTTGTTATAATCGTGCAGCCCTAGTGTATGTGTGTGTGTGTGTGTAAATGCCAAACCTGATGAATTAACAGCAAAAACAACTGAACAAAAAGCAGATGAACATTATAGTCCAATATTTAGTTTTAGTTTTAGTTTTGTTTTGGTTTTATAGCAAAGGATATTAAGATTTATAATATTCTGCGTCATATTCACTACACAGTTGTGCCACTTCTGGGTGTTTTATTTTATTTTATTTTTTCTCTTGTCTAAATCTGCATCTTATGTACTTCATTCAACCAGATGTTAAATGCAGTAAATCCAGATTATCCATATTTATGCAGTAAATCCACATTTTCAGATTTTGAACAGATTTTTTTGATGAACATATTTCATGATTGACGTTGCTTTTTATGTTCCCTCAGAGGTGAAAACGCGGCTACTCTTGGTCCTACTGCAATACACAGGCGAGTGTCGATTAAACCAAATTCACTTACACATATAATTTAAATGCTATAAATATACATGACAAATAAGGAACACATCATTTTCGGTCTTTCCACCACACGGTTATTCACACTCGTTCATTATACGCTGTAGTCTGTCACACCAAACAGTAGGCAGTCTTTTGAGGTCACCCTGAATAAATTATACTCAGTTGAAAATGTCTCCACACAGCATTTCTCTCACACCTGGAACAGCGGCCCAGCAAACTTCGAGAAAAATGATACACATGAATAGAGCCCTCAGAGACTTCTGTAATCCCCTTAAGGAAATATAATTTAATAAAAAGACACTGTTTCTCAAGGTTATGACTAGAAAATGCAGCTAAATTAAATACATTTGGCTGAGGAAAAAGAGCAGCCTTTCATAATGGTGTCTAATGTGTTTTGAGTTCATTGGGAAGTACGAATGTGTCTTTAGATCATTTGATGGCATTCTTTTGTTTTGATTTTAGTCTTTGAACACTAAACATAATGTGGATACTGGAGAAGTTTTATTAAGAGGGCATATTATTGAGAGAGTGTCAATAGTTCACCCATAAATGTCCATGCCATCATTTACTCTTCCTCTTGTCATTCAAAACAACTAAGTTAATGGCATAGTTTTGCCCATATTATGCGAATTTAACTCTCTTTCTCTCTCTCAGACTCAGAGATTCAGTTGAGGAGGGATATGGTGTTCAGTCAGAGTCTGGTGGCAGCGGTTTGCTCTTTCTCAGAGCAGTTGTTGGCCATGCTAAATCAAGCTCTCAGCATTGAGAGTGAAAGTCAGGAAGCCAGTCGCCGCTGGCTGGAGCAGATCTCCTCTGCTGGGCTTCTGTTGCATTTCCAATCCCTGCTCTCCCCCAACTTGGTGAGTACCTGCCACGGTCAGTGGACTTGAAATAAGCCTTACCAGCCTTTCTAGTCTGACATCCTCCTTTGGGGTGGATATATTTAGATCAAGGGTCACGTATGGCACTTGAATGGTTGTCAAAATCCTGCTCGATGTGGCCAGCATCCCACAGCTCAGTAGGATTTATCACATCCTTCTTAGTTTCAACGTAATGGTGTTCTGTGTCTGTGATGCGTAGCCTGTAAAGATGTAGTTGTTAAAGCAATAAGCCATGAGAGGCCAAGTGGTATAGTTATTTTGTCAGGCTGAAAGGTATTGTTAGGCGTGACATGAGGTGTAGCATGTGAAATAAAATGTAAAAAAAATGAAATAAAATATCAAACATTAAATATAAATTGTAAAATGCTGGCAACTAATACATAAGACATGTGATCAATAAATAATAATGTAAAAACATTTATAAAATTTCTTAAGAAGAATTTGCTAGCAATTCAGAATTAAATCAGTTTTAAATTTTGTTTTGCTTTATTTTAAAGCTTTGTTTTTTGTTTTGTTTTAGGACTGTTTTTAGTTTTATTGTCTGCTTGTTTTGTTTTAAAACAGTTTTTAATGTTTTATTGTCTGCTTTTTGTTTTGCATTTTTTTGTTTTATTGTCTGCTTTTTGTTTTGCATTTTTTGTTTTGTTATGCAATAAAAAACAACTAATTTTTTTATTTGTTTGTTAACTTTTTTGTTTGTTTTTTTAACAGGATGATGCATTATGGTTGTGGTGATGATTTCTTATAATGGCTGTGAGGCTCAGTACAGAAAATAGCGGCTACTTAACATCTAACCTAAAGTCCATTATTCTGTGCCTTTAATGAAGTTTTAAATTTTGTTTTGCTTTATTTTAAAGCTTTGTTTTTTTGTTTTGTTTTAGGACTGTTTTTAGTTTTATTGTCTGCTTGTTTTGTTTTAAAACAGCTTTTTATGTTTTATTGTCTGCTTTTTGTTTTGCATTTTTTTGTTTTATTGTCTGCTTTTTGTTTTGCATTTTTTTGTTTTGTTATGCAATAAAAAACAACTAATTTTTTTATTTGTTTGTTAACTTTTTTGTTTGTTTTTTTAAAAGGATGATGCATTATGGTTGTGGTGATGATTTCTTATAATGGCTGTGAGGCTCAGTACAGAAAATAGCTGCTACTTAACATCTAACCTAAAGTCCATTATTCTGTGCCTTTAATGAGCAAGATAACTCTTCATTTAACAGAAAACTGTGTGAAGAGACCGACAGCATCCCTGAGCTACTTTCTTATTTTGTTTGTCCTCCTCCCTGCAGATTACATCTGCTTTTTGTTTACTGCAACCGGCCGCAAGGTCAGATCCACGTCTGTGTGTTGGGACTCAGTGGAGTTTGCTTTCTTATTGAATTGATGACTGTAGCCATGTGTTTTCCCACACGATGGCAATTTCCACAATCTACAGGCATCCCGACAGACCGAGGGATAATGCAGGATTATCATGTCTTGTAAAGTGTTTCTGTCTCTGGCTTCGGCTTGAGATCAGATTTCACCTGGCTGTGATTGAGGCCAGAGGATTATACATTTGCCTGTCTGGGGTTGTTCTTTATGTGAAAGATTTATTTGCACCCAAAGTCACTTTATGACAGAGCCGAAATGTGAATATTTCTCAGCCAAAGGATATAAGAGCTGTTCATATTTAAAGGAATAGTTCACCCAAAAATGAAAATTTGCTAAACATTTACTCACCCTCAGGCCATCCAATATGAGGAAGAGTCTGTTTCTTCATTGGAACAGATTTGGAGAAATTTAGCATTACATTACTTGCTCACCAGTGGATCAACTGAAAAAGTTGCCTGTCTGAATCAGGAGAGAAATATGCATAGATCAAGCACTGTTTACAAGCAAAAACTGTCTAAAACAGTTCCAAACAAATATGTCTGTGGATAGGGGATTGTCTTTTTCACTGGAAGAACGTTATTATGGATTATGGACTTGTATGTTGACCAGAAGTGACGGTTTAAAGTTAAAAGCCTGAATGATGGATTAGTTTCTTAGAAACACAGCTTTTCACTTCATAAGACATTAATTGATGGACCGGAGTGGTTTGAATTACTTGTGGATTATTGTGATGTTTTTATCAGCAGTTTAAACTCTCATTCTGACGGCACCCATTCACTACAGAGGATGTATTGTTGAGCATTCTCAATTTATTTATTTATTTAGAGAATATAAATAAAAACAGCAGGAGGTTTGGATGATGTATGTTAAGACATTAAGACAGACATGTTTAAATCAAGCATGTAGTCAGCAAAAAGCAGTCAGGCTGAGTTTCCACAGAGGCTAAGCCTACATGTAATATGAAGATTCCCAGCGTTTGAGACTTTAGTCTTATCTCCACAGCACTGCCGCTCTTTCCCCTCCACCCCCGAACACACTCAGGGGAGGGAGAGCAGGCGGCAGCGAGCAACCCGGAGGTAATTTCTTGACATGATAACGCTTGGCAGCTTTGTAGGCCCCCAGATGAAAGGATTGTGGCATCTGGCACATGGGGATCTTTGAGAGAGTCGGCCCACGTATCAGGCAGAGGTGTCGTTTACGGATGTGTGAGGAGTGGTCCCTCGATTCTTACACCAGACTTGTTCAGATTTGTATGTGGATGGTCTCATCCGCAGCCATGGGCGTACTGTGTGTGAGCGGGCAGAACTAAAACGAATAGAGTGGAGGATGAAGAAAATATGAATTTATGTTTCTTCTCCTCCTCAGTGTGTCAGCAAAAGGAAGTCATAATTGTAATTTGTATCTACGCTGAAGCACACCAGTTTATATTTTTTACTTTTTTTGTATATTTCACTCATACTATCAGACCTTCAACACGTTTTTTTTCATGAAACACATGTAGTTTAGTAATGGTTTTGTATGTACTTTTTTCTTTAGACGGATGAGCAGGCCATGCTAGAAGACACACAAGTTGCTCTCATAGACCTGGAGAAGGTCACATTCTACTTCCGGCAGTTTGAAGGAGAGCCTCTTGTTGCTAGTAAGTACTCTTTGAAGAAGCACTTCCTGTTTGAACAGGAAATAATTACTTGTTCAGCATAATTTTAAAACTAATTTGACTAGTATAGTTACAGAATCTTTCCAGTGTCCCCAAAAGGTATTTGGACACTCAAGCTAAAAAGTATTTATGTCTTTGCATTATATAAGAACAAAATCAGTCATGATTATATCAGTACAAAAAAAAAGTACATTTTTATTGTTAATATTTACAATAGTGGCAGTGTTTGTATTCTTAACTTCAATATTCAAAAAGTCACTTGAAACCAGTGTGTTTGTATAAAATATTTTATTCATAAACCCTCTGACTCCATCATGCTGATGGCTTTTTTTCTTTTTCTCCAGACATGCCTATCTCATACCAAGTTGAGGGCACACGGCAGGCTTTGAAGGTCTGTTTTTACCTAGAGGCGTTCTACTTCCAGCAGTTACCCCAGAGACTAAGACACGGCGGTAGCTTCAAAATTTACCCCGTCCTGTTCACCCAGGGTACGTGTGTTTGTATGGACACAGTTAGCCTGAAGCATGGCCAAAAAAGCTGAATTATGCTCATTCAAAATGAAGCTAGTCACCACCCTTAACTTTTTAAAAATAATAATGTAACTAATACATAGCTAAACGTCTGAGAAAATTCCAGAGCTTCACGTAATCTTTCTTTAATAGCCTTGGAGAGCATGGAGGGATATTATTACCGAGAAAATTTGTCAGTGGAAGAGTATCAGGCCCAAATCAATGCTGGATCCCTGGAGAAGGTCAAGCAGTACTACAAGAGACTCCGGTAAGTCTGCTTCACCTGTCAGTCAAACTTCAGCTATGAAACTTCACAGTTTTTTTTCTCTAGACCTTCAGACCTAAGTGTAAAGCTGTCATTGTATTTCCTGATGAGCTGGAGTTGGGAATTCTGGGAGATTTTGAGAAGTGGTTATGGTTGCACAGTTGGATCACTACCTGGACTGGGAGTGCCACTTAAATATAAAATGACAAAATCAGTATCAGTTATTATTTAACAAATAAAAATGTAAATAGATCTTTATAAATAGATACATATCAGTAATCATCATGCCAGTCTGCTTGAATAATCGTTTTGAGGTTGAGATGAAGATGAATTTGCCCGCAGACCTCAAGATGAGTTTGGTTCATCAGTCTGCCTAAACTGACTATATTTCACAGCTGTGACTGATATCTCTGATAATCTATATGGCCAAAAGTATGTGGGCACCCGAACACCAAACCCATGCTTGTTGAGCACTTCTGGGAAGGCTTTCTAAAAACATTGCTGTAGGAATATTCCCATCCAATTAACTCCAGATATTTGGTTTTACACCACCTTCATGTTCCTTCAGTTGTTTAGTTGTATGTTTAAGTCTTCCAGAGGCCTCTTGGGACATTTAAATGGCTGTTAAAACATGTTAAGTTGTATCCAAACCCTGCACATCAGCACTAATACTCCAAATATGAGTGAATTTGATATGTTTATGGAAACTAATCATCATCAGGATCCTAATAACATGTTCTCCGAGCAGCTGATGTTTGCTTTATAGCTCACAAGGTAAGCATCTGGTGTAGATCTCATCCGTAATTGGTTACAGCGTGCTGAGGTCAGCCAAGTTTCATTGTATTATGTGAGCCATAGGGATTTGCATGGAGGCAAGCCTGCCAATTGTACCAGAGATCAAGTACAGTCTTGGCATGATTTGAGGCCAGTGGAAGACGTATGATGGGTTACTCAAGAAATATTGTCTCATTATGTGCAAACACTGTTTTGGTTTGGCTTGCCAGCATTCGGTGTGTAATGCTGACTCATTATCTACTCTGTGCTTTCTGGCATATTGGCATTTCGAAAAAAATAATTCTATATTCCACTAATAACACGATCCTTCCATGCCTTATCCTGGTCTTTGCTGAGCATTGCTATTGGCATTTTAAGCTGAGCTTGATGCATTTGTATTGACTGAATGTGAAGTGTGAACACTGAATGAGGAAAAAAGGCAAATCCATTCCTCCTTCAAAATGTCACTGTTCTGATATGGATATGACAGTGAGGTGACTGTACGTGCTAGATACTAGTCTTCATAATTCTAAACACGCTGCACACATTTGAATTTTCTAGCGATTTTTTAAATTTTCTTTGACAGTGCCTAGGGATGTGAAAAAGAATATAATTTCAAAAAAGACTAGTCAGTGGGTTGGTTGCCTGAACGACTGTAAAAAAAAAAAGCTAGATATGGAGCACAACTGAATGGATAGGAATGTGAAGGTCTTGACATGTTTTTAAGAGCTTGACTATTTTTAACACATATATTATATGTTTTATATAAGACCACTTTAAAAGATTGCAATTTTTTTATTGTCCAGATATATTAAAAATTGAGCATTTGCACTACAACTACAACAGTACTGATGACAGCATGTTTCATCATTCATGTGATTTCCCAGGGTTTGTGGTTTTTGTTTGGATTTGTGTGATTTTTATGCAGGTGTGGAAAGGCCCTGCAGGTAAAGTGATTCAGCTTATGCAGAGTTCACACTGCACGATTTTAGCCCGATTTTTCACTCGTCGATAGGTTTTGCGAAATAGCTGACAAATGCCCAAAATAGGAGGCAAATTAGGAGGCTCGCTCATGCGAGTGACAATCACGCAGTGTGAATTATCAAAGACGCGATCTGAGGGAATCGCCGACGCGTCGCCAACACCCGTGAAATATTTGGCATGCTAAATATCTGGAGCTGTCGGCGATTCACAATCACGCTGTGTGAAATGAGTTCTGACTGAAAAACACATCGGCGATGACCTGCAGCCAATGAGAGACCAAGATACAGGGCAGCGGGAAGTTCGGGAAGGAGTTATATGAAAAGTAGTTTGCGGACCAGTGTTGCCAAATCCACAATTGCCACCGGTTGTTTTTTATGTCAGCAGGTTGAAGCGACCCCCATAATGTGATATTTAGGCCCTGGAATGTGAATTGTACCAGGAGAACCCTGCCAAAAAAACTTGTATTTTACCCCCGAACGAGATTTTTACTGGGGGACCCCCTCAAAAGCAATTGGGCTATTTTCAGGCTAGTTTTGAGTAGTAATTGGGCGGGTTTTGTAGCAAACACCTGGCAACCCTATATATATACTGTATATCCTAAAGCTATAGATATATTTAGCTTTAGCATCACCATGATGAAACAAAGGCATATTTGCATTAAACCCAGATTAAACGTATTGTATATTACTGTTCAAATGTGAAGTGCATTAGTTCTGACATGACTGTTGTTGCTCATCAGAGTAAAGCCAGGAGATTGACTCAGCAGTCTTACCACAGAGACCCACCATCTGTCTTCACAAAAAACATCTTAAGCACATGCCAGGATATATTTGGGCTCTAATTTTAACTACACTGGAGTCTGTGTGTCCGTGTTTATATCTTTAAGGAGGAGATCCCCAAGTCATGTATTATCTTCAGATCTTCTTTAAGTCAACCTATACTGACTGATGAGGTCACTACAATCATCAAGAAACAAACCTGATCTGAAAATAACAAACACATGTCAGGACTCATGCGAATGGGAGTTTTGCATTTATGTGCCTTTCCGTTTAAATTCATATCAATTCAAGTGTCAATTATTGACTATGATTTTAATGTGCTTTTAGTTTGGTCAGTAAGTTTGGCTGTTGTTCGTTGCATTACATTTATGTTGCTGCATTAAATTTATTTAATCTTTTTGGCTGCAGTAATGATGATTAATCTGTTTGAAAAAAAATATCACCCTTTTAAATCATTACGGCGCAAATACAAAAATATCAAAATATGCATTAAATATCATAAAACTGATATATACTTATATACACACTTCCGTTCAGAATTAATTCTATATACATTTTCAATACTGATAATAATGAGAGATGTTTCTTATGCACCAAATCGGGATTTTTGAATTATTTCTGAAGGATCCTGTGACACTGAAGACTAAGTAGCTACTGCTGAAAATTCAGCTTTGCTCTCACAGAAATAAATTACATTTTAAAATAGAAAACAATCATTTTAAATTGCAATATTACTGTAATGTAATATTACTGATTTTACTGTGATGTACATATATACATACACTAAAAAATTATTTGGTTTGGTTAAAATATCTACAAATTCGTAACGGATCAGTTTATTTGGGAAGCAACACTGCATGAAATATCATAGATTGCATGTATATTTTGTCTCAATGCTCTGGCAGATTTGGACTTGTTTTAAGTACAAACAAAACTTTTTATACACAAAGTCCTATATGTTTTGTAGAGAGAGAGAGAGTGAGAAATCACATGGCAGAAATAGCAAGAATGAGAATTGACAAAAGTGGTGGTGTAAAAAGAAAGGTGCAGCTAGAATAGAGAGAGAGAGAGAGACAGGTATACAGAGCTGTTGCTTCATTTGTTGTATTATTTGTACTACATTCAAAACTACATTAGCTCATATTTGCAGCTTTGGAAGCCCTTACAGTTGATGTCAGCTCTACTTGTGTCTTTTTTCGTTGAAAGCACATTTGGAGACAGCACAGTACTCCTTTTCATGTGGAATGGAAATTAAAATAGTTTGATTACAGTTGGCACATTTAATCAAACCCATGTCTCATCTGGTAGTTTTTAAGCGTTTTCTCAGTCAAGTTTATGTCCAGTTCATGTCGAGTTCATCCTCAGTATCCCTTCATAAACAGGACTTCAAAGTGCGGAATCAAAACTGCTCTTAATACACCCAATAAGTCAGTAATACAGTTGAGACCTTGATGTGGCATCAGATCTGTATGTGGTGGCTGATTTTTCTGATGAGGGACAGCCACAAAAGACTCCAGCCAGCTTCTTTTAAGTCATTTGGGGTTCATTTCAAGTTCTGCGGATTGTTAGATTCATTCTACGAGCTTGCAGACTAAAAATACACTTGCTGATTTTTCTGATGAGGGACAGCCACAAAAGACTCCAGCCAGCTTCTTTTAAGTCATTTGGGGTTCATTTCAAGTTCTGCGGATTGTTAGATTCATTCTACGAGCTTGCAGACTAAAAATACACTTGGTTTTTGATTGTTCTCCTAAACAAGGCGTTCACAGCTGATTTCAAATCTAAACTCCACATGCCCACAAGTTCTTTGTTTTTTACTGAGTTACTGAAGTGTGACTTGTTTGTAGTGGTCTCTGTGGTGCAAGTCATGTGGATGTGGTGGGGTTGATACAGATGGATAGCTCGTTCTTGTAGCACTCTGGCCCTGTGTTAGGTTTCTGCATTGTGGGATGTGTGTTAGACAGCTGGATTAATGGCTGTACTTATCAGCTGGTAAAAACCCAACGCTTGGCTAATCGCATGTCTAGAATTTGCTGTAAGAGCTGACATCGGTTTAGTGATCTGGTCCTAATGGGAAGACACCTAAACATGGGCTAAAATATATTTGTGTGTGTCTGTAAGAGTGCTTTTGTGCCAGCTTGGAAGGAACCACCATGGCATCATGTTTGTGAATCTGTTTTTAATTAAGGTTTGTTGAGGTCATGCGTTGGGTCATTATGGCAGTTGAGGCCCAGTGCTATTTGTAGATTTATTGGTCGACATGGCATGATGGCCTGGCAGCCTGATAATGACCATGATGCAATGGTGAGCCTCATAGAAACCAAATAATAACAAACCACATTGGCAGAGATCAAAATATTAGCCAAACTAAAATTAAATGTTAGACCACGGGTATAGAGGGGGGGGGGG